TACACATCAACAAAAGGGAAATATTCTGAAGTACAGATTTGAACAAGTTTCTTTTTTGGCCCAGTGGTTCCTGGGTCAAAAGGTTAAGGTTGTGTGTCAACTTGGCTGGACCATGATTCTCAGTAGTTTTGCAGTTGTGTAATGATGTAATCACCTCCATGATGAGATCTGCTACAAGCCAAACAGTTGAAAGGGAGTTTCCTTGGGGGTGTGGCCTGCATCCAACGTATATAGACTTTCTGGCAAAGCTCACTGACTCTTGCCCTATTCTTGATCCTGCATTCGGCTTGTCACCATCTGACCTCCAGTTCTTGGGACTTGAGCCAGCAGCATGCCATCTGACCTGCTGCTCTTGGGTTTATCAGCCCCTGCAGCTATGTGAGTCAGGAGAAGCCTTCAGCCTTCAGCCTGATCCATGGACTTGGGGCTTTCTAGCCTCTACAACCACACGAGCCATTTCCTTGATATAAATTTCTCTCTCTATATATGTATATGAATATACATATACACGCTTCACTGGTTTTATTTCTCTAGAGAACCCAGCCTAAGACAATTCCCAGTTGCTTACTGAATCAAAGCCCAATTCAACCTTATTATGTAAGAATCAAGTTCTAGTCCAACCCTCCCTCTCCAGCCTTCTCCTTCACTGATCTTCTAAATGAATACCTTTCTCCAAGCAAACTGGACTTTTTCTGAAACACAGCATACCCTCTACCTCAAGGTGAAGCTCAAATTCTGCCTCCTTTATGAAACCTGCTGTCTCTGTAGCTGGATATTTTATCCCCGGAGTATTTTATTAGTACTTCTCTGGGAACAAAGCCTTAGGTGGTGCAAATGGTTAGCAGCAGAAAGTCGGAGGTGTGAGTCCACCCAGAGGGTCCTCAGAAGAAAGGTCTGGTGATCTACCTCCAAAAAATCAGCCATTGAAAACCCTATGGAGCACGGTTCTACTCTGACACACATGGGGTCACCATGAGTCAGAATCGACTCAAGGGCAACTGGTTTTTACTCTCTCAGGGCACTCATATTCTGCCAGGTATTCAGTTATTTGTGCATAACTGACGATTCCTGCTGACAGACTGTAACCCCTTTGAAGGGTGTCTTAAGCTGGATTCTCTAGAGAAGCAAAACCATTAAAGTGTATATA